GACTTCTGAAGAGACACTTGGTTCCTAAGAGGTTCAGTCAACCTCAACATACTAATGAGAACCATTTCACTAACACTTGCATATTGTTCTGCAAGAGGCAGTGGAAATGCTTTGGATACTCAGGTAATTTTTCCCTTGCTAAAGAAAGAAACGAGCAAAGTAATTTTGTTTCTTTTAATTGATCACTGGTTAAGTCATTACATTTAAAAGCGAAATACTCTGTTCAAGGACATGGTGCCAAACATTAAATCTACTTTTAAACAAGGCTTAATTTTACTATGTTACCTTTATATACATACAGGTATAATTTTCATTTCACTAGTAGCAAAAGTATTCAGTACATTGCATTTCCTGAAAGATGGCAAAAAAATAGGACTTTACTATCTGTTTTGTCCTTCCACACACCCCAAACCAGAAAAATCACAGGTATATAAAGTACAATCACAACTACAGGTAGGACCTCAGAGCAAGCTAAGTCCTTATCAGAGATAACAATCACTTCTAGAAACCTACATTGCAAATATACAGTACATTCCACTAAAGAGTTTTGGGAGTTCTCACAATGCCTCTTAATCCTCTTTTGGTAATAAAAGCTTCTATGACAACATGTATCCTTCATAAAAATGACTGAATTTATATTTTTGGGGCATATGTTGTAAGCTTAATGCAGTCTAAACTGCAGTCTACAATAAGCTCACCCAAACAGAGAGCAAGCAAGCATTGCAAGATTCATGAGGATCACAACCACAGCTCAGCTGAGTCACCCTTTGCTCCTAGTCACTGGGCATCTGGTAGCTAGAGCTACTCTGCACTAGGGACAGACTCAAGGGCTGGGAAATGATATATTCCTTCTACAGCTTTCACAGGTAACCACCTGCAAGTTCTTGACAGAAAATGTCAACTGACTCATAAGCACGGGCAACTTTACAAGACCTACTTGAACTTATTTACAAAGCGTTTGTTACATTGCAGTTGCTGGACAATTAAGAACAGAGCTAAGGAGCAACAAGTTTTCCACATTTACTCTCCTCCTGAAGTATTCCTGTGAGCAGCAGGGAATGCAACGGCCAATGACTATGCAAACATACTGCCACTGTTGGGAAACTGCAGTCTGGCCATGGGAGGTGGAATGGTGCACGTAATCCAGCAGTCCCAAAAGGCAATCAAGACTTCAATTACGCTCAAACTCTGCTTTGGTTTGCGCAAAATATTAATCCTGTGCATGCAGCTTTGAGATGTAGTCTGTATTCAGGAAGGAATTGTCACTCTCTGCTCAGCAAAACAACATTGGAGGAACTTGCTAGTATTAACATGAAAATGCGAGGTAAACAAGGCATTATCCATGAGCACAAGTTAAAGGTGCAATAACAAGGACTTGCCCACTGTTCCAAGGAAATGTATGTCATCAGCACTGTTGTAAGTTTTCCATTCTGTACTTGCTGAAAGAGGCTACCATTGATTAGCAAACTATCTGAACTTTACCCAAGTGACAACACAGGGGAACTTTTCCTCCCAGGCTTAACGTCAGGGAATCACTGCTCACTAACAATATTGAGCATAACCCCATAATTTAATATGAATGTTAAGTGCTTAACTGCTCATTTTCTTTCTCTTCACTGCTGTTAAGTTCCAGGAAATCTGACAGCACTAGGAAACACCACACAGGCATGCCCAAGGTTAAAGACACCAACTGATTTCCTCCAACATAGTCAAAACATGTCATTCTTCTTCTTGCAGGTTCTAGCCACACACCCTCTTAACACCAATTCTTCACTGATCTCTATTTTAAAAGTTAAGTTGCTTGACTTAACTTGCAAATCTAACAGCAATGTAACATAAGCAAATTAATCCAGAAATAACTAGTGGAAACCTGCCCTATTATTTTATAAGCCCTGCTTTACGGCAGCTTCTTCTGGAAAAAAAAAAAAAAAAAAGACAAGCACTTGGTACTGCCACTTGTCTATAGCCAGTCAGTAGTACTTCTAAAAGGGCTGGAAAAGCAGGCTACAAACCAGGTTCTCTCTACTAGTCTAGACCTGCTTTTAGCAGAGGTAGGTAGGAATAGGTCAATGAAGAGAATTAGAAAACAACATTTGAGGTCTGGATGTTCTTCTCTACTCTTCCCTTAACCTATGTTGCATTTTCTTTGCTCTTGCAATAACCATGTCAAGCACTTACTTTTAAGAACTGGATCCTGGTAGCCTGCAAAGAAGGCATGGTATTAGTCAGCTGTCATTAAGAGACAAAGGAACTACAAACTTGGGCCAAATGGCACTATGATTTACTGCAAGAGTCAATAAGATGCTTCACAATAGAACTTCAAGCTCCACATGTGAAGTCTGGTAGACATAACATCAACTACTGGCAACACCCAGTTACCACAACCTCAAGCTCTGTAGTCAGCAGAAGCAGGTAAGAAGTCTAGCTTTCAGATCATGATTTCACTTTGACATTTCAAAATGTAACTGTGCAAAGAATAAGCAGCACAAATGGAAAACATACATTTTAAGCCCAGAAAGAATTCACAGTACCTAATCAAGTCTCAGCTTAATTTTTCTGTAGCCTATTCTAAAAGCTTTTCAGCTTGTGGACATTAAGAATACAGCTACAGTTAAACGTGTGTGTAACAGTTTGCATGCAGTCCTATGCTATACAGCAGACAACCAATTAACAATGAAGTACAGAGCATGAGAAAGGTTGAAAAGCCCTCATTCCCCCCGCCTTTTTTTTTTTTAATCATTTTTTATTACTGTTTTAAGATTAAATCAAACAAAACTTCCGGACTTTTTCTGCCAAGTGACCCTCTCCTTTAAAAACAACATGGAGACTCAATATATGTTTACATATAATTTATCTTAACTTCCCTCCTCCCAGATTCCTGTAACTAAAAAATTTAATATATAAGCCTTACACTATAGTAGTTACACCTTTAATGGTCCTCATGCTGCTTTACCTTCTAAAGAAAACAAAACTTCAGTTTACTATGTTCATATTCATCACTTGAATTTTTAAAGTTTGCTTATCAGGCCTTACTGAAATCGAGTCTTGTATGCAACACAGCTAAACAAGTTACACACATAAAAAAAACCCCAAAATCGTTTCATTGTTGAGATTTGAGTTTATCAAACTGAGCCTCTCTCAGGTTCTTAGCAACAGAACTCAACTATGTACAAAGGAGCAGGACAGAGGACTCCCCCAGTTCCCCAATGAGGACCAGAGCTGATTAAGCCACAAAAATAAGTTGAGGGGTCCTGTCAACCTGAGTGAAGTTTCAGTAATCATCAAATGGCTTTTGGAAGAATCCACAGTGAAACTTCATGATTTTCCATAATTTTAAAAAGGGGGAATCAATTTCAAGAGATCTTTGGTTCCAGATAGAACACTTGCACTCATGTTTCCCTGGTCACTTAAAATCACACCTAAGGTTCTTCGCTGCTGTTAAAGAAAATTTTGCAAACAAGAACAGAGAAATAAAAACAGATAAATGTAGACATCACCCAGAAAATGCTACCAAACATACAAAGCAGATGAAGATATTTTCCTCTCAATTTTCAGTTCTCATTTTTTTTTATACAGATATTTCAAGAAAAGACCAATTAAAAATGTGTCCCTTAAAATTAAGTAGTTCGTATGTGCTGAAAGGAACATGCGTTTTTAAAGTAGTCGTTCCTTACTACAGGCAGCTCCCTCAGAAATGCTTTCTCTCTCAGCTGTATATAGGAGTGCAGTCACAGTCATATATCTGTGTATGTCTTTTTAAACCTATTAGTAAGTGTCATTTGGCCAAGAACTGTAAAAAGCCATGCAGCTCTCTTAGCAAACCTATCCATCAGCAGATGCATTTAATTTCCACAGATGCAGACCACACATGCAGAGAATTAACCAAGTAACCCAAGGAAAAAAATATTAGCTCTTACTCTAAATCAAACAGAAAGTTATCTGCTTTTTTATGAAGAAATCTATTTAGATTTAAGACTGCTTCAAAACAGTAAGTGAAATACAACTGCAGCCATGAATAACATGTCACCTTCCTGATCCATAACTGATCCTGGCTTCCATCTTAAAAAAAAAAAATCACAGTAGCTGAATATACATACATAAAAACCTTTTATCAGAGGTCAATAAGTAACTCTGTTAGATCTGAGCTTAGAGACTACGAATGGCAACCTGTGTTCACAAGTCTCTAACCCATCAGCTCTCAGGCTTGCATGGCAGTGGAAAGCCTCATCCAACACACTGCTCAGGTGGCTCATTTTTTCTGTTCAGATGTTGCTCAGCTGAACAGTTACCTCTGATGATGGTACAGCTTCCCTCTTCCCTCTCTGCAAAAAGTAGAAAACAGCAAGATGATCAAAATATCCCTTTGAATGCCCAGCTCTAAGAGAGAGATTGCTGCCAAAGCTTTAATACCACAGTACTAATTTTAAACATTTTCAAGCTTGATATGCAAATTACATTTTGTTATTACACAGAGTTTAACAGTCATTGGTCATTTCCATTCATTCACCCCAGAACTGGTGAAAAACTGCCTGCTGAATAGGGATGAGATAACATGGCAAGTTGTGTGTCTACTCATCTTGCACTAGCCAGTGCATGGAAGGTAGGTGAGCAGAAATGCAACAGGCTATCAATACACCCCATATTTTCACATACATTTATGTCATGCATATCTCAAAAATACAGAAGTTCAGACAAGCAGCACAATGTGTTAAAGCACTTTAAAGGTTCTCCAGATGATAAATAATGTGGTATTTACTGAGAGAAAAATGTTTTGTGCTTACAATTCAAGTTTCAGAATAACATTATTTCTACCAGAGTATCTGAAGCCCGATGGAAGGAATGTTCCAATGAAATTGGAAGCAAAAGACAAAATTTAAACAACTAGGAAAATATGCACTGGTCAGAGTACTGCCTTCCAAAGGTTCATAATAAATAAAAAAACAGCAGGAACATGCAGACCTTAAAGATTTGTTTCTAGATTCACGATATGTAAAAAAATTAAAAATCAGTAACAACCCTGGCTGACACTCCCACATTTGGGGTCTTTTTGGCTAAACAACTGTTACTTTATTGTAAGAACACAGGTATTGTCAGAAAACATTATTTACAGAATGATTATCAGATTGATTACATAAAATACAGATGAAAAGATACACCTTCAGGTTTGAGATAAGCCAAGCAAATTCACTGCTGATAACTAAAGCACTTTGAATAAGGCGACAGACACCGAACAGCAAAATTGAATCACAAAGCTACTGAAAGTAAGAGACAAATTGGTGAAGGTAGAGGTAAAGCAAAGATCAATGAAGCTGGAATGATTTATAATACTAGTACACCAGAAATCATGGAGCTTCATTAAAATTCTGTTTTAACATATATAAAACCAAAATGAAATCTTTACTCCCAAACTGTGATTTCTCGAAGTACTGAGCAGCTGTTTTCTTAATGCATCTGTGTAATGCTTTGTACTCTACATCTTACAAGACACATCACCACATTTAAGTGCATGATTAGAAACTGTGCTGAAATAATGGAAAAGCACTTCAAAAATGATAGACGCAGTAAAGTCACAAAAATGCTCAGCTCCAGTTTTTGGAAGTAGCTCTGTAAAAGGTGAAGTTTTAGAAAAGTGACTTCGATCCCTGGTTTTCAAACTCTGACCATGCATCATTCAATTCCATGAAGATCATTTTGGCATACTGCTCATAAGGTTGTCCTGTGGCCTGAAAACAAACAACATATCAGAAGCATAAAAACATTAGGAATTACATGACTTAGCAAATATAAAAGGGGTAAGATCTTTCCTGTCTCATTCAACAACTTTAGACTGCCGTGCGAATATAATTGTGCAGACACACAGCTCTCTTCAATCACACCCAAAGTTTGCCAAGAGTATTTTCAAAGCCAAAGCTTTGTTAAAACTTCAAACTTTTAATGCAATTAATAAATAACTGAAATTTAGTAAAAATAGTTTTCCAAGCTGTTCTTTTCATAAATATTTTTAGTTAATATTAGGTAATGATCAAATCCAGTCAGTTTTGGAATTGCTTCCTGACAGACCTTGCAGTAATGTACAAGAATAAAATTTAAGCACTATTTAAGATGACTCCTTTTGGATGTGACTTCCTGGACAGAAATCTGTTGCTGAATGTGAATGACATTAAGATTCAACATTAATGACAAAGCACTTCCTGTGCATTTGCCTCCATACTCAAATGAAGACAGTACACTACCAATTCCCTGCCTATTTCACAGCATCCCTGCTTCTAAGGCCAACCCAACCCCCCCGGTTAGTAACGATCCAGTTCCACTAGATGAGTCATTTTAACAGGTTCTTTCCAACAGAGTATCCTTCCCCTTCTGCTGCTTGGCTTTTGCCAGCTGCAGTACCTCATAGACACTTTTAGGAAGTGCTTTAACTAAAGTGGCAGAAAAATGCCTCAAAAAGACCTGTGTTCTGCCACTGATGCATTAAGGGGCTTACAGAAAGCACCAAAAAAGCCACCACAAAGGTGGAGGAAGCCACATGGCCAAGAATAGCAAAGGATGAGGAGAAGAAAAGAACGAATAATGTCTTGTTTCTCTGTTATGGGTACAAGACGACATGGGACTTGGACTTCTCCTCACTGAGACACCAGTAAAGGCAAGTCTGAAAATTCAAACCAGGTATATTCACTTATCTTTGTATTTAAAACACAGCCTAGAGCGATGACTCAGAACAAGAAGCTACCTTCATACATTGGGAAACTAAAACAGCAATGGAATGCATTAAATATTTTAAAAAGACAACTGGATTGGCAGTCATATTCATCAAGTATTTTTCAATTGCTAAGTAAAGCAAAAGTAAAGTTTACTTTTTCTAGTTCTTAATAAAGTTGCTTAGTAA